TTCAATACATGTTATGCTAGTCGCCATGACGTTCCTTGTGGAGACTTGTTGGTGACTATTGGATGCTCTCTGTTTCAAGCCTTTATCAGCATAGTAAGTTTGCTCTCTATTCCTCTTCTATACCCTTATTATATTTCATCTCTTCAACAAGTTTACCAATGAGCATAACGGCTTTATTGTTTTGACGGAGAGAAAAAACCTATGATTAGTTTTTTCGGGAAATTTTCAAACGAACAATTTCAACAAAATCTTTGAATTTGTTATTTTATTAAGTTCAACTCTATGTATTTTATCCTCTGTGATTCCCATGTTGATGCCTTTTATCATCTGTGGAATGTTTCCTCGATGGAGACCTCTTTTTTCCTAGAGCAAGCCATGAGTATAACTCATAGATTCAGGGTTCTTAACATTATCATTCCTTATATACTTCTATGCATTCTCCATGTATATTCGCAAGCATTCATTCTTTAATTGCAATCACTGGAAGCATTTTTGGAATGGTGAAGCAAAAACACATACCTGCAATAGGAATTGGATTTGGAATCATGATATTTTCTCCTGCATTCTGCTGCATTTCGCCACGGTGGTGAGCAAAGGAGGTTAAATGTGGCCAAGGGACATGGCCTAATCGACGTCCCTCATAGCACAATCCCAATGAGTATTTTCTTGTTGATTCCTCAGTTTCTCCTCTAGGTGTTGCACAAGGGATTGTCCTCAGTAACATGACCCATTTTTGGGTCGATCAAGTACCTAATTCAATGCAGTCATATTTGAGCAAACTCACTGAAGCTTTCTTGGGAGTTGGATTCATAGCTAGTGTTCTAACTGTTAATGTTGTGGGAAAGATTAGCGACGAGAGAAGGGTTGAAATCTGGGTCGGGGAGACACAAAAAAGCCGACTAGATAAGTACTATTACACACTAGCAGCACAATGAGTTGTGCCAATCTTTTTTCTATGCACTTGCTTTTTGGTTTAATTACAAGGAGGTGAACATTCCAATAAAAGAACAAGAAGTGGTAGATGAAGAAAGGTTTCAATACCATGACGAGTAATACCATCAGGTGATCAGGGCAAGTCCAAGCGAGTAACAGGCTATAAGTTTAATCTGTGGCCATCCATGAAGTTTGAAGCATGAGTTGTCCCATCTTTTTGTTTGTTTTTGTTATTTGTAGGTAAATAATGTAATAGTACTTTACTTTTATTTTTAAAAGATTTCCTTCTACCGTATAACTGTTCTAAACCTCATTTAAGCTGCATAATAAGTGAAAATACTTTCTGAGCCTTGAACCAACATGAACAAATAGTGGTTGACTCTCGCAAGAAATCAAACTCCCTACAAGTGTTATGCAACCATTAAACCCTTCAAGGTAGAAAAAACCTCGATACTTTACAATACGAATTTGAGTGTAATTCATTCTCATCACACCCACCCATGCAAAAGATTATTTACTTTTCATAAAATTTGCATATCAAACAATTTGTAACGCAACAATTCCAAAAAGAAATGAGTATTCAAATCAAAACATGCAAGAGATGGTAATTAAAAATAAACAGAGAAAAATAGAGAACTAAATAAATGGAAGAGAATGCAAAATGTGCAACAAGCCGAAATGTGCAAAAATTTGGTCTACTTATATTTCACAAAAGGGAAATCTGGTGGGCCCAAGAGGGCTCACCCCTTATGGTTCAAATATAACCACCAAATCCTTTGTGGTTTTGGACCAATATAAAAAATTAACACCATTAATAGGCTTTTTGCTTCACGTCCCAAATTTTATAGGGCTGATTTAATAATTTGAGTGATAATTCATAAGTTTTTACAGTTTGAGTGAGTCAATCATGATTTCATTTAATGAATTTTCTTTTAGAAAATTGGCATCCCAGAGCTATTAAAACAAACCCAAGCATTATTACATACGATTGTTATCCTTAAGTTTCAATATTACATAATATTTTGTAGGTCTCCAAAGCAAAGTACATAAGAAATACATAGCCAAAGACCTTCAACATAAGTTCAAAATACATAAACTTCCAAAACAAGATACATGCTAAAAGAAGTTAAGCATTCAAGACAATTTCGGGAAAGAAGTCTTGTTATCTCCAAGCTTATTACCTGCAAAATGAGATAACAAATATTGTTACATGTATTACACTAGCACATACGTTGCACATGACATATAAATGCCAAAATCACATGCATTGCATCCACCATAAATATTATTTCACACGTCCTTACTTACCAACTCTGGATTATCCCTCTCAAGTCCAACAATTTGGGGGGGAAGCTAGGACCACTTAAAAGGCTTGCACCTCGGTGTGTCCCACCACTCATTTCTAATTCTTTTAGTTAAGGATACGAGTAACTCACATGCCTCTCGGACGCTAAAACGTTGTTTGAGGCCTTTTACCCTAGGGAGCACAATCCCTTCATGTTTATCCCCATTATGTCCATTGCCGCTGTGAAGTCTGATTCATTTAATTTCATCGCTTATTCGGATGATGAAAACATAATAAGCATAAAATACAATCGAATCATTGAATTCTATAATAATACCAAGCCAAGACTTAATCATTACATGTAAAGCACATAATTGTTGTAGGTATGATTCAATCACGTTGTATTACTGTCAACAATTCCACCATGAGAATGTGCGGAAAAAAAATGAGAATATATGCACGCAATTAGAATCTAAGTAAAGTTTCTTAGGCCTTTGCGATCATTATTACACATTCTAGTGATAATTATAAGTTAAATTCCACCAAGTATAGAGTTTGGTCACCTTTTAACACAAGTAGGTACTTTGTCACATAATAGCTAAAAGATAATAGGGCCTTTGACGATTTTTTTAAAAATCACACAATCTGAATTAAGTTGTGAAATTTGTTGTGTACAATGTAAATGAGTTATAAATGTACAGAAAAATTAGCACGACAATCTAACATGAAATACTAGCTAGCCACAACATTCCTCCATATGTGAGTTGTACTTTGTACGTCCAAAGGGATAGGAAAAAAGGTGGAATTTCTCTCTGTCTGTCTCTGTGCGTGGTGTGTGTGCGTGTGTGTGCTAAAAGTTATATGGAAACATATTATCTGAAAAAAACTTATTAGTCATGCCGTCACCTGATTCAAGCTGAGAATATTGAGCTATCCCATGGTCCTGCTTAGCACAACAACAACGGTTGTGTTCGTCGGTGATCTACTGGCCAAGTCCTTAACTACAATTTGGGTCAACTTGTGATACAGTTTCTCCGTTATTTCCTTTCCAAATTGGTAAGAGATGATTGATTCAGTGTAGCACCTGATATTCTTGGCAAGTTGTTCTCCCTTAGCCCTTGTATCACTCTCTTGGTTGTCTGCAAGAACAAGTGTAAATGTCTCTATATGTTGAACTGCAAATGATCCTTCCTTGTCAACTATATCTTGCACTTCCTCCTGTAATGGCGTGTAGTATGGTACATTGAAGGAGTCCAACTTCTCTTCATCAACCAAGCCCTACGAATGAACAAGTGGTAAGAAAAAAATATAAACCATCCATCACCGAGTTTTGTATAATTTCCTTCAAAAGATCGATTAACAACCCGAGAAACTAGGTAATTTCATACCTCGAGGGACAAAGATAAAACATTTGCCTATTGAAAAATGTCACAATAAAACCTAGGCAACATTAGTGAGACCCCTCACATCCTAATGGAATTTGTTTGCACACTAAAATGATTGTTCCTCTTAAACACCAATGTGCTCTTTTTTCTTTGTTCGTGGATGTCCTTTGAGGGAATAAAGTCCCCCCCCCAAAAAAAAAAAAAAAAAAAACTCTGGAATTCTTTATTTGTTTGTCAAGTCTTGTTCTAATGAGAATTTCATCCGAATTCGAACAAAAAAAAACTTAATTATTTTACACTAAGCGATGTGCAATATCAAGTGTTGTAAACCAGAGCATGCTCCATGAAGTTTTTTTTTGGAAGTCGGGGGGGGGGGGGGGGGAGGATAATGAACATCATCATACGTTTATAGCTTCTAAAAATAATTTTATTTTTCAAAAAAATTTTACCTGTGAAACCATCTTAGATATGGTCTCGGCTAATATTTCCCAATGGTAGCAGCTCTCCTTACCCCAAGGATCTGAGGCTTGTCGACCATGAAGTATCAAGACCATACGACCATTTTGAACCGTCTCTTCAGCACGAGACTTCAAAAACAAGGTGAAATCTTCTTTAAATTGAGCTAGATAGGCTGCTACTACAACAGGAGGGCTTGTCTTTGATATATAGATCTTCCCTTGTTCAATGGAAAGCCTTCCTTGCTTGTAAGTCCTCTGGGTATCTTTTGTTCATCGAATTACGTTGAAATAATTAATCAGTACTTATGTGACATGTCAAAAACAAACATGTCATGCTTTAATTTAGACATCCGTTGGTAACATTTTTTTTTAAGAATATGTTTTTCTAAAAACAATGAAAATTACTTTTGTGAAAATTAAATCCCAAGTAACAAGCATTTCAAGAAGAGTAGTACTATTGAAACCTAAAAAAATTGACTTAATCATCAAAATGAAGTGTAAAGATCACAGTGATGACGCTAGATACATTTTTGGTGGACAATGTATTTTTATTCATGTACTATTACAACAATTTATTAACTCGGGATTCTTATTTTTTTTAAGCATTAAATGCTCTACCCACACGATTACCCATGGAAAAAGAGAATTGGGAGTTAAATAGGGTTAAAAAGAGAGATAGTATTTATTTAGAAAAAATTGATATTTTATGAACGAAATTATTGAATGGAGTAAAAATCCGAGTTATGTGTAGTTATTTAGAAAGTAATAAAGTGTATTATGGGTATTTCAAGGGTGAACACCAAGACCTTTCCTCTCCTTTTATTAATAGTATAAATTAAGAGAGCAATAATTTGTATCTACTTGGTATTTCTATGCCACAAATATCTATTTACTCAAAATCTATAACCTTTTTTGTTTTTGTCTTTGGAACTTTCAAAAATTATGGTCTAAATTTCACTTTTAATTTGGTATCCTTTTTTGTGGAAAAAAAAATGCATTTAATAATCCATTTTTCATCTTTCCTCTTGTGGTCTCTCTTCCACTCCCCGTCTAAAATGAAATATCTCCCCGTCTAAAATGAAATATCAAAACTTATTGGCTAGGAAAAAAAATTCCAAATCTTACAAGGAATTATTTTAATAAAAAATGAATATAAACATTGTGATGTATAAGAATTAGGGTTAATTGTACTAGAGGTCCCCAAAATATGAAATTTGTCTCATTTTAATTCTCAATATTTCAATTACAACATTTTGGTCCCTGAAGTATGAACAATGCTATTCTGATCAAATCATTTACCAAATTTTGTATCCCAAATCATTGTGGGTGGTTAGATCAGTGGAGTCCACTAACTTCACCAAATATTCAATGCATGAGATTTTGACAAATCATTTGAAATATAAGATTTGGTAAACATATTTGGGCAGCACAGTTTTATCCCTGAAATATTGAATATATTTTTATGTGGTACCTCAAGTCGATTTTTTATGATAAACTTGTCGTGTAATACGTAGATATGGGTAAATAATAATTTGGATAACTCTTGGCCAAATTTCTTTCCAAATTTTTGTCTAAGAGCTACACAAATTACATAGTTTTAATCATAAGCGATCTAAAATTTGTTCAAGAGCTACCTATATTACACATTTTTTGTGAAGAACTATCCAAATTTTGGTTACGAGTTATCAAAATTATTTTTTGTCCATATTTAAGTATCACGTGATGTTGTCTGCTTGAGGGACCACATTGAAATATATTAAATACTTCAAAAACCAAAATGATGTAGTTGAAATATTGGAATCAAAATGAGACAAATTTTATATTTTGAAACCTCCACTGCAAGGATTGAGACTATCAATATATACATGACTGTTAGAGATAGTTAGTAATGTGAAGAATCCCACATTGAAAAAGTTGAAAGGGAATGTAAGGGTTTAAAAGGAGAAACACACAAATTTTATAAATTTGGATGGTGGAAAAATTTGGAGGGAAGCTCCAAATATTTCAAATTAATGGGCCTTAATTAGACTTTAAATAAAATAATCTTTAAAGTCAAAAGATGGGCACTTGGGGCATCTTGAGCTTGAAACCTTTAAATAATTAATTATTTTTGTATTGATTAATTACTAAATATCTTTTGGCCCAAGAGTTGTGTCTCCTCACTAAGGTATTATAAATACCTGTACAGATCTTTCAATTGAAGTATATACAAAAAAATGTTTTCTATTCTGTTTTTGGGAGAATTTCAGAGTTTGCTATCTGAAATTCTGTTTGACTTTGTTAATCTTAGAGGAATTTGCCATAAACTCAGCAGCAACATAGTGGGGGCATAATTTTCTTAAGGATAGTGAATACACGATCAAAGCCTTCTAATTTGGTGAAATCCTATTTTGCTAATGACTTGTACATCTGACATAGGATCCAAAGCCAAACAAAGTGAGTGGGTTTGAATTTATTTTTAGATCGTTTGGATAATTATCTTGTGAACTATAGAACATATAAAGTAAATAAGTCGATACTTAAATATAATACACATTTTGCTAGACACAAATCCAACATGTTACAAACCTAAAATAGATTAAATTTGAGTTGAATAAATTTTGAATAGATTTACAAATACGACACCACATGAAGTATTGAGATGCCTACTTCGGATTTATTGTTTACAAAGAGTATGAAGATTGATGCAAACCTGAGAGAGCCAGTGGACACTGTAGGAGGAATGAACAAGATGCAACCAGCTGCGAGGAAAGAGGCGGCCATGGAAAGAACCAGGAGCTCCCATCACAAAGCATGGAAGAAGAACATCACTCTTTTGATCTTCACCGACTCTAGACAAGTCTTTGAAGAGCGAATTGAAATCATTACCGGGAAGATCGTTCAAGTAAACCTGAAGCTCCGGCGGTTGGCAATTTAACTCCTTGCATTTCCTCTCCAAGCTTTCTTTGATGGTTAAAATGACGGAGAAAGGGTTCGGACCGGCTGCGCAACCGAGATCGGCCACGTTGAGAACTTTGTTCCGGTGCAAATCTTCTGAGAACAGAGAATGAACCGCATTTACCAGTATAGGTTTGGTTATGGAAATCACTTTTTGCTGCACATGATCAAAAGATTGAATCGATCTGTAAATAATGTTGATTAAACAGAAATTTGAAGCGAAAATTGATGAGCAAAATGATCTTGCGATAACTATAGATTGATATGATGATTTGAATGAAGTTTTCTTACAAACTAAGTTCTGTTTGTGAATGATTTTCGTTTTTGAACAGAAGAAAATAACTTGATGTTTGGAAAGTAGAACGAGTTGATGTATGGAAAATAGAGCATACCGCAAACCATGCGTGTTGAGCATAGCTTGATTCTACTTCTCCTCCGTTCATGAAAATTGCTTCGTTCACGTCCATTCTCTCTCTCTCTCTCTCTCTCTCTCTCTCTCTCTCTCTCTTTCTTTCTAGCAATTAGGGATTGGTGATTAGGATCGAGGGCTCAAAGTGCTAATTAAATTCTACCATGTACTTACTGGACTTGGTGGGACTTGGTGACAGAGTTTAGACAATCAACCAACAACTCAAGTTTTTTTACCACATATCTTACTACTACTATAAATAAAGGCCACGAATATTAGGTAATTTAATTTAATCTTGACCTATTCATTTTATATTTTTTTTACTCACGATCTGATTTAAACATCGGAGTCCCTTTGACCACCGTCACCAACCATCGATTCACCCTAAATTCAATTCATCTAAATCTTATCTTCAATGCTTACTTACCACCCTCTCAATCCGTCGTCTAAATCTTATCTTCAATGTTTACTCACCACCCACTCAATCCGTTTTTTGTACTTTAGTCAAAGTGGTGATTAGCTTTGCACCACATACAAAGTGAAAAATATTCCGAGCTTGTACTCACCATTCAACTATCAATCAATTTACCTTACTTTTTCAATGGTAGCAATATTTAATATTTACCATTCAATTATCAATCAATTTACCTTACTTTTTCAGTGGGAGCAATTATGTCAAACCTAATCAGGACCTAACTCATTTATAACACCATTATTTGGATGTTATTTGCTAACATAATTTATTAGAAGTGATGGTGATGAATTTAAGCTTAAGTCGCTTACTTAAAGCCTAAAACACCCAGTGGATCCGTTAAAGAACAACCCAAATGGCCCATCTAAATAGCGCCCACCATATAATGGGACTGTGCCATAGCCCAGGGTTGTAGAAGCTCAGGATCGTCCAACTCAAGATATATGTCAGCTCGGTCCCAGCAAGCTCAACGACATGTACTTGCTCGAGAATAAGGAACTCCGCACAAGACCAGCCTCAAGTAACCCAAGTCACGCCACATGGCCAAGGGATAGAGGGACAATGTCTGACTCTAATGAACAAATATTCTCTAGTAAAGGGAATATCGCATACATTCCATTTCAAAGATAGTGGGCGTGGAAAACGTCAAGCTGACAAATCAATTGACGGTGCACTCTCAATTAAGTCAACAAATTAAGTCCAATTTTTTTGAATTTATTAACCTAATTCATCATGATTATAGGATTGATTGTTGATTCCAACAAATACTGATGTTCATCGTCAATTCAATAAATATAAATAAATAAGTCTTATAAATTAGATTCAAATAACATTGCTCATAACAACACTAATGTTATAGGGATATAATTTGAGACTTAATGTGTTATAACCATCAGATTTATAGTGGAGTCAATTGAATATTGGTACCCGTTAAGAATCCAGTCTCCACTATCCTTCATTCCCTAAATTATGAGCTTGATGAAAACCATTTTTTAATTCAACAATTATAATTGATTTATTTTTATCTCGAAGATTATAATTGATTAGATTTTTAGATTAACTACAATAACATTTTCCCCAATGGCTAATGAAGTTACTCTTAAATTGCTTCAAACGAATTAAACAAGCTTTCTGTTTTGACTACTCAATTAAGTTTGAATTTTATTATGTACTCAGATGAAGATTGAATCATAGTACATAGAAAAATGTTATTTGTTTTTATTTGAGGACTTAATCAATTATAATTGTACGATTAAAAATTAACTTAATCTGACATTGAAGCTGACAGCTAATTTAATAACTGTATTGAATTAAATCTCTGAATTAGTTCCCCAAGCATAAGATAAAATTTTAAGTTTCATTATCAATACTTGTTGCGCCTCACAAATAAATCATTAGTATGCTTGTTAACGATAAGATTTCCATAAAATATTAATTCATTCGAATCCGATTTAAAAACTTCGCTCTTATTATTCAACGAACCTAAGTTTTAAAGTTCATATCAAATCCTTTAAAAAAAATTATTTTCATCTAAATGATTAAATTAGGAATGAATTTTAAAACATTACATTTAATTTTTACACAATATCGTTAAATAAGAACTCAATTTTAATTAATATATATGTATATATGGGTATATGTAATCATATCGGATCACAATCGAATCCAAATTTTCTATATCCATATCTATAAAGACTTGCCTCTTATTTTTTTTTTTGGCAAACTTTTTAATGGGGCAAATCCTAAATAATTTTCAAATTTTCATATGAAGCCCAAAATAGTTTAAAATTGGAGTGGGGGCAACTGCCCCTACTATCCCAACCTTAAATATGTCAGTGTTTGACTTAATTTTTTACTAAAATTTGAATAAAAAGTTTGATTTCATAAAAAATACTGCAATGGGGTATTCAATGTTAAAAGATGACAAACTCAAATTTAAATGTTGATAAAATATGACTAATGAATTTTTAAAAGAGAATAAAATTTGACTACTTAAAATTTGAGTAAAGATCTAAGATTCCCTTGATTTGAGTAAAAAAAATTGAGTGTTCCTTCATTTAGTATGAATTTGAAAAAAGGACTATGAGTTGTTTCTACCCTGTTTTTACTCAAATTTATGAGTTTGGCTGAAGATTGAAAATGCCCTTAACAACCAAAAAAAAAAATTGGTGTTTTCAGTGGCCGAGTCCATTTTAGAAGAAAACCAAGTCATGATGTCCAAGCCTTATTTTATTTGGTTTTAAAGGACAAATTGGAAATCAAACATAAAAATATCATTATACTCTGAGGTGCTTCTTCAGTCCAGTGACACGGGACAGTGGCACAAGATAGTGAGACTAGACAGCCTATGTATCTCCGATATAACGCATTAAAGAAGATGATGTGTAGAATGCACTCTTAATCCGAGATGCGAAGCTTGGTTGGGTAACTTAATTATGATGTGGGGTTACCCAGATGGACTTTTGTGAAGAAAAGATTAACAATTTGGAACAGGTTTTGTTCAATGCCAAATAATTTCTATCCAATTTAGTTAGTCATCACTATTAACACATTGTTATGTTTGACTAAGTTGAGTTTAATATGGAATTTGGGTTTTAGTTTCTAATGCATTTCATTGAATGTCATTTGGTCATAGCTCAAATTAAAATGTTTTATCTTAAAACATCTCCAACCTTGTAAATTTGAGTCAACATTTGACTAAAAAATTTAATTTCATACAATGCAATCCAATGCAGAAACTCGAATTTAAATAAGGTTAAACTATGACTATTAGATTTTTAAAAGAGAATAAAATATAACAATTGAAGATTTAAGTCTTTCTTGATTTGGTATGAATTTGGGTATAAGATTAGAGAAACTTTTGTTTTTTTACCTAAATTCAAATTTGAAAAATGGTAAGGATTGAAATTACTCTCAGACTTTGATTGAAATGCTTTATGTCATAATGCCAACAATAAATGATTTTGAGGTTAAGGTATGACCAATTAAAATAAATATCCTGAGGATAACAAACACCATGGAAAATTTCTAGGTGGGCCGAAAATTTACAAACAAACAATGGTTAGGACCAAACTCTACATTGTAACCCAATGTAATTGTAGACAAGTTCAATAATGGATTTGTACTTAAAAGTCTTTCTCCTATTTTGATATTTGGATACTTCAATGCACGCTTAGTCTACACCGAAATCAGTTTCGTAGCCTCACTTTCTCCTTCGGCCTAATAATTATCGCTCTTGTTCTCAGGGCCGGCCCAACTATAGAAGCAAAAAAACTTAGACTCTAGGCCCCATAATTTTAGGTAAATAATTGGCCTACTTTAGAATTTTAAGTTCATGAAAATTATAAGTTCTACAAAAAATCCTTAGTTAAAATTTAAGATCAATCAAAATTTTTTATTTTAATAATTTTTTGAACTCATAATTCATCCAATAATAATAAAAACCTAAAAAATTAAAATTTTATTAAAAAAACTGATGGTATACTCAAAAGTCAAGTCATAATTCACCTATTCATTATTAACCACATCTCCTCTCTCTCTCTTTCTATAAAGCCCCTCCCTCTCATTTTTATTCTCACTCTTCATATCAATTTCAAATAAAGAATTTTTTTTGATTGTTTATTTAACTTAAAAAATAAAATTATTAAATGCTGATAGTTTAAAAAAATTTATCTTGATTTCGGATGTTTCTTAATACTTAACAATTTTTTCGACATTGATAGTTTAGATTTATTTTAAAAATAAATATTTTAAAACAGATTTTATAAATGAAAGAAAATATTCCAATTGAGACACCAATTTATATAAAAACATTAGATTTTTTCCTTCAAATGTATGCATTTCTTATAAAATATTATTATTAATTTTTATAATAGTTACTTCTACAAAAAGAAGCTTTTCAAAATTAAAATCAATAAAATTTTATTTAAAATTGACTATCACAAAAAAATAATAATTAGATTAGCGATATTATCAATGAAAAAAAAATATGATAACAAAATTTAAATATAAAAACTCAATTTATACTTTTGCAACTCAAAAAATGAAAAGAATTAATTTTAATCAAAATTTTTAACACAAAATAAAAAGACCTCAAAATAAATTACCGTTTTAGGCCTCAAATTACCTTGAGCCATCCTTGTCCCCCACAAGATTTTGTACAATACTTTTTCCTTGTATTTAGCAATTCAATATGTAAATGAATTACAACAATGCAATTGCATTTTATTTTTTTTATTATATTTGACATTTTTAAGCATCAAACTGTATGAATTACAATACTTTTTGCTTCTTGTTTGTATAGAATGAACTTTTGGGGATTAATCAAGGTAACGGTGGAGTGAATGAACTTTCGTTATTCAAATTAGGTAAGAATGGAAGCTTGATCAACAGTTGAAGGCTTCATAGTCAATGCTTTTAGAAAAACAGTTGGTAGATTTTCTTGATGGGTATTTCTGTTGGATGAATCCGTTGACAGAAACCATCACGTAATGCCAACAATAATAGGTTGTTAGGTAGTCCAAACTCCTCTTCGCTTGACTCCATGTTTCCCATTTTGGCATACAATGTCCAATTGGTTTTCCTTT